GGGGGGGGGTTGCGCAAAATTTTCAGACAATCTGGTTGAGGCTCACATGCAGGTCTAAAAACCGTCATTAGAGTAATCACCTGCTTTTAACCAACTTACCTTTGACCTTGGCTAACCGGAATAACCCATAAGTGATAAAATTTGGTAAAGACACCTAAAGCTTTAGTTTTGTGTTGAGTTACAGCAGAAGTTCAAAAAGCGCCAATAGAGAAACGCCTTTTAAATACTCACTCCGGTACAACCCCCACCCATCCCAATCGAAAAGAAAGAAAAATTCGCCCCGTGAATGATAACGCTATCACATTTATCTCTCAGACTCCATCACTGTCGTGACTGATCCGTGGCTTTTTTGGTTTTTTTTGTTTAGAAGGCATGTTCTACATTTCCAGCTCTCCTTCCCAACAAAAAGAAAAAAATTCTTACCCGGCCAAAGTTCACGCTGGTTACCGGACAGTCAGCACCCCCGACAGTCACCGTTGTGCTTCCATCCACAAAACCATTGCCGTTGATCACAAGCTCAGCTCCGCCGTTCTCGCTGCTCTCTGCGGGCAGGCTCACGGACGCCACAGCCTGGCTGGTTATCATGGTATCTACAGCCGCTTTGCCTTTGTTCTCCACATACACGTCCACGGAATTGTCACCAACGGGCAGTCTCCCGACGGTACAAATTATCTCTGTGCCTCCGGTCGCCGAGGCAACGACGCAGTCTTCGCCACCAATTTTAACTTTCGTGTCGGGGACGGATGAGGAGAATGAGGTGCCAGTTATGGTTATGGTTGTCGAGGCTGAGAAGAAAATCAAACAAGGGAACTGTACCACCGGAAACTTGTATAAGAATACGTTTGGCTGTATCAGAAACTGGTCCAAGGAAAGCAAAGCTGATTTGTATGTAGTGTTGCTCCTTGTGTTAGGCCGGACGTATTTCCCAGAATACAGATTTATTGATAAAATTGTAACCTTTTAGAAACAGTTCTAGACATGGAGCTGACTGCATCAGAGACAACATTGGCTAACCCTCGACGAGAGATAGAAAACACCAAACTTTCTTTCTAGAAGCAAATTAAAAGCCAAAATATCCACACACCCTCCTTTTCAGGACAAAACAAAAAACATAAACAAAAAAAAAACCCGTCAAAGAAAAACTACAACAAACAAGCACAAACCCCAAGATCCAGTGATACTTTTTGTTTTCATACTGACGACGACTAAGCCAAACAAAATCTATGATCAGGTTGCAGTAACCCCCCCCCCCCCCCCCCCCCACAAAAAACACACACACACACACACACACACACACACACACACACACACACACACACACACACACACACACACACACACACACACACACACACACACACACACCGTCATCATCATCATCAGCAACAAAGAAGTACTCGCGCATATGAACAGGTAGGAAGTTTTCTGACCTACCTGCAGAGACGGTTGTGGGCGTGATGTCAGTCACAGTTGCTGTGTTGGCCTCTGAGGTGATGAACCGACAGCTGGAGCCAGAACATTCAGCGGCCACGTCACCAGAGGCTGTTGAGATAAGCACGGTCGGGCTCATAGCGCCCACGTAGCAACTCGATGCTGCAGCGCCACAGATGGTCTCACAGACGATTTCAGTGTAGCTGACCGATTCCACGATACACGACATGTACTGGGAAACAACAAAGCAGATAATGATAACTTAGTCTGATTGTTTTAACACTTTTTTCGATTTACAACGCAGCGCATCCATATACATTCTTGGAATCTAAGTAAGGAAAACAATATCTGAACGCTCGTTTTAAAATAGACATTTAAACAAAATCAATTAAAACGTGTAGGGGCCTACGACTTTTCATTGTATTTTTTCTTCGACCGTCCTCGAGATGCGATAACATTCTCTTATCCTTAAAAATATTTACGGAAGAGAAGTTATGTAAAAAACAAACAGGTTACCGTGATTTCCGTCTCTTTTTTTCGTAATATTGAAGAGGGAAGAGATCAGAAAAGGGATACATTGTATTTGCATGCGAAAATACTTTATATTAAGAACGTCGTTCTGTTCTCCTATCCTTTTTGCTGGAGGGCAAGCCCTGGAATATTTTTAAACCTACAAAGTTATCACTATACTTTTGCTGTGTAATGTTTTCTTTGCATTCAAATATGAAAAAACCCACAAACAGCTCTCACATCAAATTCCACAGTTACATCACTAGTAGTTCCACTGAAGCCTCCACCAGACAGAGTTATTTTTGTTCCTCCGACTTTGGAACCTGAAAGCAAAAAAGATATCATTTCTGTTGACAACTGAAAAATCCCAGCCTGTGCAACTAATAATTTCTAACATTGACTAACAATACTACTCTTTTTATATTCAAATTAGAATTTCCAAACTGAATATTTTTCAACTCTATTAGGTAGAGGTTGGCACTGGACACAGTTATGTACTCTTTAGTAAGAATATTTAAAACACCATTAAGTATTGCTCAATACTTTGAATCATCACTATTGGCACCATTATTTGACTAAGTGAAAACAAACCAAAAACACGCCCACAAGATAACTTGCACGGGCCGATGGTGAAAAGAAGAAAAATGAAACAAATGAATCCATAGAGCTCATTAGGGCAACCCAGGGCTTCGACTCTAATACCAATAACTAACTAATATTACGTCTTAAAGTCCTTGTTCGCCTGGTATCTTCAAGTTATGAACGCATGCGAGTACGACAGCAATTCGCTACAACAGAATTACAAGTTCTCTCTGCTAGTTTTGAGAAATTTGACGACTAAAATTTTGAGTTTCACAGCGTGTCAAGCTTTTTTCAATGCAATTCTTTGAATAATCTTAAAATTTTGATAGAGCATATAATATATAACATTTGGTTTCTGACCTCATGGCTGTATTAACTCTACACGGCCAAAAATGTCAGATAGCACGATGTAATTATATGGTAGCGAATTGTAGGCAAACACTATAGCGAAGAAGCCACGCTGCTTAATTCTCGTCGACTGAGAGGGTAAGATGGATGTACTGATCGGACAGTCGGTTTTAATAAGAAAGCTGTTAGTAATAAATATTACTTCATCAAAACACAACATGTACCTTCAAACGGAAGAATACTTTCAACTTTCGGAAGGAGTCCGAACCGCCTGTCACTGACTTTCTGTAGAGCCACAAGTGCATAGCCCAGATTGGCAACTCTGGTGTTAAACTCTTGTAGAACTGAAAAGGGATGAATAAGTTTAAATTAACGGATATTGTTTAATAAAAGTAAGAAATAACATCACAGTAAAGTCACTGCATTTTAATATCCGCATGTATTCCCTTTACTGCCTCGCCCAACAAAGTTATAAATTGTGGAATGGGAATACGAAACAAGTCTGGTTGTAAAGATGTTATAAGGGTTAACGGCAAGAATTCACATTGTAAAGTCCACTTATTGTAAAACTGCTTAAGAGTTTGCAAGTCCTCTCTTGTGCCTGTTTCAAATAATAAGCCGAGTACACCCATTATGGGCTTGTTGTTGTAGTGGTAATGGATGTGCTCTTATTTCACGGCACGATATGTGGCTCAATACTTTATCATAATATTTTAGCTGGCCTGTTAAGTTAATATCTATTTCTTTTTTATGCAAGGATTCACATTTTCCACAACCTTGGGAAGATAGGATCTAAGACTTCGTTTTCTTGAATAAGGGTCAACATATTAGAGCTTCTTTGGGGAGATCGTTGCACATCTTAAATTCCTACTAATAGTTAGAAACTTAAGAAGAGTAAAGAAATTCATACGACACGTTCTAACCCAACATCTTCCAAAATTACCCCTTCCCCCGTTCCCAAAAGGTCAGTTACAATACAAAGAGCACATCTAAAGCTATGCTACCCAAAAAAAAACCCCAACAAGGTTGTCCTCACACAATCATGTGGGGATGACAGCTGTATACGCGGTTAGTTGCAATGTGAGTTGAAAAACCTTTGATATGCAACCCTGAGATTGACTTGGAAAAAGCCGGTTTAAAAAAATTATTGTGAGTCATACTTATTAAATAATTTGAACCTTTCTTTCTGTATTATGAAAATGTACTTTTATATAAGAGTAGAACTCAGATATACATCCTGCTTACGCCACAGTGCCTACCTCCGACTGCTGGTGTATTTGTTGTGGCAATTCTAAATCCAATTGATGTCTCTGAGCTGATGACAGTCTCACAGGCGGCAGAGTCGGCGAAGATCACTTCATTTTGACAGTCCTGTTATGAAAAAGAGAATATTTCGATTTATCTCATGGTACCCACTAGAATACGTAGAAAGCGCTCTGGGTTTGAAAGTTCTTGTTTTCAGAATTTGAAGTCTGATTAAGATCTTCCGCCTGGTTCCATTTGGAAAAAGGCACAGGCAGTTAGAGAGAGAGAGAGA